TATTTACACTAAGTGCAAATAGCCCGCCTTGTTGGCAGAGGCTATTTACACTAACTCCACCCACCAACGTGTGATTGGGATAGTCAACATTACAAAAGACGGTCATCAATTGTCAGATTCAGTGGTGCAGATGGTAAAGCATTTGTCATACTCCTTTTGACGCGATCGACCCGGGTTCGAATTTGCCTTTTGGCAAACTTTAATCTCCCTTTTCAAATTTCAAATCACATCAGAAAAGCATTTATTTTTAATAAAAATGAAGGAAATAATAAAAAAGTTGAAAATAAAGTATCGGGTAAGGTTAGGTGTAGGGAGGGCATTATTGCACACTGTTTTATAATGTATTACAATGCTGAGGTGCAGATAATTGACACTATTTGCAATAAGTAATTAGCAGAATATCCTGCTATTTTAACTATCTATAGCTATTTGCACTTAGTGTAAATAGCATATCACTAAAAAATACTGTTATTTTCACTTAGTGTTCTGGGAAATGCTAACATTGCAAAAATGACACGCCGTACCTTTAAGGGAGTAAGCATTAGAAGTGAAGTGAAGTGACATGTGGCCAAGTATGGTGACCCATACTCGGAATTAGTGCTCTGCATTTATCCCATCCAAAGTGCACACACACAGCAGTGAACACACACCCGGAGCAGTGGGCAGCCATTTTTTGCTGTGGCGCCCGGGGAGCAGTTGGGGGTTCGGTGCCTTGCTCAAGCACAATTAAAGAAAATCCTGGATAATTAAAGATATTACGGATAGAATTAGAGGCAAGTACCTTTCTCACCTGGAACGGTGCTCATCTCTGTGGTCGTCTCTGGCGCAACGGTTCCACCTGTAGTGTGGACACAGTGAAGGCCATTAGATGAAAAGTTAAAGTGAGACACTGGCTAATATTTTATTTGGATATTATCGGGAGGTAAGAATCTGACTGTGCTAATTCCCCTCTTTGTATTTGCTTAGCATTTTTAAAACGAGCTTTGCCAGATGAGACATGCAAATACGTTTCTGTTCATGTGGAACCTTTACTTTTATCATTTAGCAGAGGGGAGTGTAATTCTGTGCAACACACACTCTGTGAGACTGCACTGAAGTGAACACAGAGGAGATTAGAGGCAGAATTTATAATGCAGTGTTAGTATTAGCAACTGGAGAGCAGAAGAAACTTTAACAGTCAAACATGAATACCAAGGTAAGTGCAAGCTAGGTTGGAATGGAGTACTACATTACTGTATACTACATACTGTGTAGTACTGTTACTGTTTAATACCAACATTTTTTTTATTGTATGTGAAACGGTATGAACTGTGAAATGGAATAATAACATACTGCATGCTATATGCTACACAGTATATACTGTATTCTGCATACTATTTCCTTTAACTAAAGCAGTATGTAGTAATCAAACAGTAAATTTAGACATTTAAGCAGCAGTTGACATATATATGATCTTAGTATGTACATAGTGAATTATGCATACTACACAGTATATACTGTATACTGCTTACGTTTTTAAACATATTGTACGTGAAGCAGTGTAGTATTCAACGATAATGGACCATTTAAACCGTATAGTATGCTGCAATGTTGTAACATGACCTTGCTACATTGCAGTTTTACATTAGTGCTAGGCATCCAGTTACCATCGCAGAACTAAATACAGTAAATTTGCATTTTTAATCCAATTTTGTATAAAACAATCTTAACTTTTGGCAGTCCACAAAGTAGAAGTTGAGATTGCATTTGATATCGCTCGCCGTTCATTCATCACTGTCTGGCTTTTGTAATGAAATGGAAGGTCAAGTAGAGCGCATTTGGCAAATGTAGTAGGTTATTTCAATATTAGATGCATACAGAACATTTGCATACCATGCACAGTATACTTCTCTTCTAGTAGGAGTAGCATGGTTAGTGTGGTTATGGGCAAAGAAACGATTAGGGTCATAGTGTGAGGAGTGATTACTAATAGCATTCCCAAAAAAGGGTAGAAGAGCTGATATTTGCCGAAGCAAGGGAGGCAGTTAGTTTACTGGGATTAGCATAGTGTAGTAAGTAAGGGTGCAGTCTCTGCAGGCGGGTGTTAGCACCTGTCTGGTCGTAGTCATCACCTGTTCCACTATGGCAGTTGGCCTGGTCATCATCACACTCGTCTGATGGCGTGGTGGAGGAAGCGGGCGTAGTAGGGGGCACTGTGGGCACTACAGAGAGAAAGTCAGAGACAGAGAGAAAAAGAGATAAAAATACTCATTACTCATGAAAATACAAACTGTTGCACAGCTGTCACACGATAAAGCGACGGCAGTACTAAGGTACATTTTCGTCGTTTTTAAGGTGATTACTGAATGTCCAAAACCATGTAGTACTATGGTATTTTTTGTACGTCCTTCCACAAATCATCTTACAGGAGACATATTATGCCCCTTTTTTCAATATGTAATATAAGTCTCTGATGTCCCCAGAATGTGTCTGTGAAGTTTCAGCTCAAAATACTCCACAGATAATTTATTATGTCATTTTGAAAATTCAGTCGGTTATGTCTGTGAAGTAAACTGCTGGGAAATAAATCACGTTTATTTTAGATCTAAATAGTGTTCTGTGCTGGTCTGTGCAGACAAACACAGAACAGTTAGCATGTTTTGCTCAAACTTTCGCCATGGCATTAGAACTAGTACACCGTTGTCGCTTGTGAAAA